CATAACTACGTATATAACACTTGATATTGCTAAAATTATCTCCAAAACAATAACGTCTTTTGGACTGTGAGGTAGAATACGATCCCATCTAGGCACCATTTTCAAAAGTTTTCTTAAGATAACACATTGATTTAATATCAAGTGTAGTATTCATGATTATAAAATACACAACGTCAAAGATGACCAGAATAACTTGCAATACCTCTGTGGTCTTTTCAATAAAGCATCGGTCTTCGGGGTCACTACATTTCAAGAAGTCAAATAACACATTTAAAGTACTTTGCATCGACCATAAGTGAGCCTATTCTCCTTTCAGTTTCACGTTTTCAAATGGTATGATATACTGGTCCCGGGGGTGGTACCATCGGATAGAAAGGGCATTAACTAATCGGGATTATACACTTCCCTACAAATGTTGGGTAACTCCATAACTCCCCTATAGGGCCTCATGTAAAAGTCTATTGATGTAAGCATTTTTAAATCAGATATACGTTTCTGACCTAATTTAACTTTTGGAGGGGAGTGTAAAGGTTTAATCAATCAAAATGATATAAAAGCTGACCTCTGAAAAATATAATATCGCCTATCATGATAAAAAATATCCTTTCAGTGGCGTTTGAAGGATTTAGAATTTCCCTCTGTTTCATTTAATGGTCTTGAAATGATGGATATATCTAACCTCCAGAAATTGTTCCATGATTTGTAGTCACCGGGGTTTCACTGTCAATTCAATTAAAGCGCGGTAGTAGCGTAGTTGAGTCACACACGTAATTAGGTCACTGGCCTATTAATTCTAATAGTAGAAACCGCACCTTTTTCATTTAGTTGAACCTACTTGAACCAAATGCACTTTTATGATATATATTTATTTTTTTGCACAGATAATATTCTAACTTGGCTTATTAGTTATTCCTACCGAGGGTCACGTAGATATTATTACTAAACCGTGGCATATCTTTACTCCAAAAACAGTTTGAGATGAAAATGCATACACAAATATGCAGCCTCCTGATTATCTCGGGAGTTTATTTTTTGCCATTATTCAGTTGTGCAATCGTATAGAGGATAGAGGTTCATGCTCATGATAATGGCCCCTTCTGTTACAAAAAGGTCCTTGTGGTAATATAGCACAGTCACATGCTCTTGAAAAGTGCCCCCTTACAGTACAACACAATGTGCTCATGTGAGCCCCTTTTTACACAATCACTGTCATAATTGCTCACGATTAAGCGAGAAATATAAATGCATTTAGTTCATTCTGATTGTATCTTCGTGAGGAGAGAAAGGGGACAATTTATCCAAATAGGCATCCACATTTTAAAGAGTAGATTGAATGTTGAATGTTTCTTGGCTCATTATTGTCCGGATTCTTACAGTTATTGGGTGACCTAAGGCTTAAGTTGCTCATACAATGACAATAGGACAAGGACAACACTCCCGGGGATCAATTGCCACTTTTGCACGAGGACAAGAGACTACAAATATACGGCTTGCTGTATCCGAATTCTGTATAGTTGATAGACCTGCCATCTTTCAATGAATTTAAAACTTGATTAATGTTATCCAAGGATTTTTCATTTTAGAAAATGGCGACATCTTTTAAATACATTGAACAATCTGCAATCTGAAACATCACAAAATAAAAAAAATCTCTACTCGTAAAATGATCGTTAAACATTTCATTAACATAAGAAACCATAACATATACACATGTAGCGAGGTTCTAGGTTCACAACGTGTTAGAACGTGGAGTAAATATTTCTGTATCTATCCAGCTATTGACTGAGTTATGGACATAACGCATATCAGTCCCAGTCCCACTTCAGAGTTTTTAAAGAAAATTCATATATCTTTTTAATATTGATTTTAAACATATTATTTTCACTTTTAAAAAATGCCTGATCTTTCGCACATTGTAAATTCAACTCTTCTGAAATTAAATCGATCACTGTTGAATTGAGATTCGTAGCAACAATATGTATGCATTGACTATATCATAGTTCTACACTGTATATATGGAATTGAAATACATTGATTGATTCATATGATCTTTATACAGGAGAGATGTGATTCATTACAACTCTCCCCCTGATGGTACACACCCTTTTGTTTATAGAGACGCTATTTTACCATGGGTATTAAATAATCAAACTACCATTGGAAAGCAAAAATATCAGCAATATGAATAAAATAATGAGAATGTTTAAGTTGCTACAAAATACTTTCATGAATAGGGGGCAAAAATTTAATCATTTCTTCTAAATCAGATAAAAGGTTATCTTTTATTATATTCAAGTATAAGTGCTAGTCACGTAATGTCTAAATTTTTGCATCATACCTTTACCAAATAAGGAAGCCACTTCATGCAAGTATATGCTGACATGAATGCTGGGGTCACAATGATCAAAATGAGACTGTAATCAATAGCATGTGGTACCAATGCTGGAATATGTATGTATTGTAACACTTCGGATTTTGTTTCATGTATGCCATACCATTTTTGGTAACAAAATTTTCTCTAAATGACATGTATGTATGTATTTATTTATTTAAGTGTCACGCCAATATATAAAATTACATATTATTAAAAACTACATAAAATCACTGGCCCTGCCGGTGTCGGCATATGAGACACTATGGTGTACAATAATCACTTTTAAGACCAAAGTTTTTAAATAAGTTAAAATGATCGTCTTTCAATACATAGTTTAATAATTGTCTTTCCCAAACGACGTTGAAGGAGTTCACAGTTCATTATTAAACAATATTTTGCAAGGTTAGATGTTTCAAAGTCCTCGCCAAATATTGTCCTTGCACTATCCATAAGCTCACTCCTCTCGAGCTGGTCTAAAGGGCATTCTATCAGAAAATGCAGTTCTGTTTCGACAGCATTACCGCAATGACAGAGGCGCTCCTCAAGAGGCATATTGATATAACGGCCCGTTTCTAATTTTAACGGTAAAGTGCCACTTCGTAGTTGAGCAATGGCACGTCTTTCATGGCGGGTGAGGTTAGCATTCATGTTTATTACATAAGGCCAAATAAGGCCCAGTAGCATACTTTCAATTAAAGTTATCTTATCAAAGTGTAATTTATGGATTGATTTCCCATTTGGTTTTATAGAATTTCCGGCACGTGGAGGAGTGGGATCTACTTCAGGTAAGTAAATAAATCAATGAGGCTTTAGTATCTGTGTTTGGGAACCCGTTAAAATATCATACAGTAATAGAAAGTTTAAGCTTGCAATGTTTTTCACAACCTAAACGTGAACGGAAAATATTTAAGCGATGCATTTGTATGGGCGATTGGTCATACACTCCCCTCCATAAGTTTGGCGACCTTTTTCCCCCATTGAACTACGTGTTAAAGCCTCTTTACGATATTCATCAAATAAACTAAACACTTAGTGTTCAAAAAAGTTAGACAATTCAATTTTCTATATAAAAATAGTTTTTGCTGAATCTTTTACTGAAAAGATATCCTGATTTCTGATTTGCCCCGAACCCTCCATTTCCCATTGGATTACATGGACGTGTCGCAAAAAGCTCGCGCACGCATTGTTACACATTTTGTGGCGTAATCCAGAGGATCCTCGCTTTTAACATGATAGAATGTGACGTTTTTGAGAAAAATGTACACACATGAAAATCCTTTCGTCCTCCACATTTACCTCTATATCTCAAAACATTTTTGACAAATAACTCTGATATCATATATATATTGTTAATGAGCTAGGAGCATCATAAAACTCGAATCAATTGATATTTTAGGTGAAATAAATATACGTGTTGCTGTGCTTGAAAATAGGCGAATGGCGTAAATTAGCCCTATTTTAATGAATTTTGAAAACCTTTCGTCCTCCACTTTTCCACATACAACAGAAAATACATACTTTTGTGAACAAAATCAACTATTTATTAATAAACTAGAGTTTAGGAGCAAAATAATCATGTATGATTTATTAAAAATTGATCTCGTATTTTTTGTTTAATGTACACCTGAAAAGTTGAAGGTACCAAAAATGAGCAAAAAAGGTCGCTGTCAACAGATTCTATTTTTCAGACTCTATGACGTCACAATATGGGACGCTTACTTAAATTCATCCTTTGAAATAAAACTTCCATCTACCTTTATCAAGACGAAAAATAAGTATAATAGTCATATATTGTTTGAGTTATGAGCGTTTAAAGACGAAAAATAATTCAAAATGTAACGTGTCAACATGGGATATTTGCCAGATGTTTTGGTAAAAAACTCTTTTTTAAAAACGAACGCGCAAAAAATGTGAACGGAGTGTAGTTGATCTAAAATCTTCATCGAAACAGCTTTAAAATGATATATAACTTTAATTAGAATATTATCTTATAATCCGGGGAATCAAAGTTACATTCACGCGATACCCTTTAAAAACAAATGCGCCACCTTTTTGCGACACGTCATGGGAATGACGATTTTCAAAAATTCATCAAATTTATCATCAATTTTCGACCTATTGTAATTGAGGAAAAAATTGAGAAAATTTGGAGGTATTGGAAATAAAGTCAAGTTTCGTTTCCATCAATAGTATTAAGTTATTTCATCGCCGGTTAAGTAAATAAAAACTCAAAGGTAAAGAGGCTTTAACACGTAGTTCAATGGGAGAAAAAAAGGTTGCCAAACTTATGGAGGGGAGTGTACGTATAGGTAGGTGTTTCGATTGTATATGCAAGCTTGAACTCCCTATTGTGCTGCTGAACCTGGAAATCAATTGAATTAAGAGAGGCAGCTTAAACGTTTTCTTAAAATTACATTAACATGATTGTGAGCGATGTAATGTCCATTAAAAGCTGTTATTTCAAACAACAAGTCCTAAATCACCCATGAGGTAACCGAGGCCATTGTATTTAATTAATTTTTGTGCGAAATTAATTAAGGGGGGTAGAAACCATGGTTTAACCTTGCCCAGGCTCTCATACTATAGTAAATATCAAAATCTTGTAAAACAGAAACACAACATATCTATAATTTGATTTAATAATTTAATTTAGATAAAAACTAATATCACCATTTTGAGCTACACATGTACACGTACATCTTATAAATAACAAATATCAAATTGTCATTTTTATTCGGCCTATGTCTGTTCATCATGAGATCCAGTCTCAACATTGAGCAATATCAATATTTTATATAAATAAGTACACTATAAATAAATATAGACAGTCAGTATATACCAATGGTCAGCTCATTGCTCGAGTATATAAAGTCCATACTCTGTGAGTCTGATGATTAAACCAATGGCTATAATATTTGAAAGTCAGTTTGTAGAAATGCCGATTGCCAGGCGAATCACAGAAACACGCGTGGAATACATGTCATAAAATTATCATAGGCGGCAAGTAGGTCCCGAATAAACAGTTTTTAGACCCTACTAAATATCAAGTTCATTGTTTTTCGGGTCCCGGGCCTCCATTCTACGTTCCCACAAATCCTGAAGGTGGACCAATGAGACGGGATCCATTCCTTCTATTAAATTATGCACAGCGTTCCTCCTCATCCTTGGCGACAACGAAGCAGCATCTTGCCTCAAGTTGCTATGGTCACAGATTCCGTTGCTATGGTCACATATACCGTTGCCATAGTCACATATACACTCCTTCAGTGACTGTTTCATGTCTTTCGTATTAAAAGATCCACGGGGGCTAGAATCCATTGCGCAATTAGTGTCCGAATTACGCATTGCCAGGTTCCAGTTTGCTATCAATGTGTCTATTAATGAATCTATAGATGATGTATCGAATCCAGAGAAAATATGTGGCAATGCGTTTCTTCGTCTCCGCATACACGTACAGTCTTTAGATTCATCTTTTCTTACTGGCTCCATCCCCATAGTTATAGTATGTACGGTTTCCCTTGCTCCACACGTCTTCTCCATACAATAGTCTGGCATATTAATCTCGATACAATATGTATGCGTTATTAGGATTTAGTAATTCACGAATTACCTTTCGTAATAATAAATTCTATAGTTCTATTCAGCCCTTTTGTATGTTTAGTAGTATACTCTGACGTCAATGCGATGTGGTTGAATAAAAAAATGTTGATGAATATACTCAGTTCAAAAACTAGTCCTTGAAGGAATCGTGTTCAACAGTGTTGTGTAGTGTCATGTTATATACAGAAGTATGTACTAAGTATTGATAACACTTTATGGGATGTATGATAAGAGACCTATAACCCCTCGAGTCATCACTACCGGCGAAAACAATTGAATCATGATGACGAACGCAGAATGATTCATACAGAATTCGTTGGCATTTATGATTACTAGTACTGCGTAAATCTTATCAATACCATAGAAGGATGATATTGTATTACTCAAACCGGTGGAAGATATGTGGTGATTACAAGAAATGCCACTGTAAACATTCCATTCTCACTAACGAATAACAGAGTTAAAGGCCCTATGTAGAATTTGAAAAACATTATATTATAGTCTTGTTAGACTTTTATTTTTAGTCAGACTTTTCTATTTCAAATTTTTCATTTTCAATTCGACAACAAAAGCCTTTTAATACGTCCAATTTTCGATACTCACACATTGCTTTCCAAACACCATGAATGGGTTGAGTGTATCTTACCATTGTGACCGCAACACGAGAGCTAACTGTATTTCACGGGGGGTGTAAATTGCCCAAATGGTTACACTCCCCTCAACAATTTGAAGCTAGGTAAACAGGCTTTACATGCGAGCCAGGTTGTCAAACTTATAGAGGGATGTAAGCTCTACCGACATTTATTTTAGAAATAAGGCAGTACAAATTATCTGTAACTAATATGAATATTTCAATAATCATTAACAATATCATGATGAGACACCTGTATTGAATTTCAAATATTTGGATATGTAATATTCCTCAAAAATGCTGCCTACGTCAACATATTTCTCAGAGTCAATAAGACGCGGGTTGATATTTGACACTTAAGAAATAATGAGTTCGTCATTTACGTCAGCTGTGGTTTGAAAAAACGACGAGACAGGAGAAGGTCGGGTTGTTTTACACATGTATCTACACATGAAACGGCACATGTGAAAGTCATAAAAACTTGTATATTTGTATATTTGAAAAGCCTAGTATGTACTTTTATCATTGCAACCTTAAGCACAGTGTTTATAAAACGAATCGAACGAACAACGGAATCACGAGCCCAGGAAGAAGATTTAAATCCCCCCCCCCCCTCAGTCACTGTATAATGTAAAAATATTTTTTCTAAGTAATACATAGTGAGTGGGAGGGGGATGAACTCTTGTCCCTGTGTCCAGGGAATGGAATTAAAAACTGCCAATTGAATATTTGAAAATTTAGCAGTACAATTGTAATTTTGGAAATGTCATTCAAAGAATGTAAGCGGACATGTAAAGCTTTTGTCAAAAGTAGTTCAAATAAGGTCAAAACTAGGTCATAGTGAGCTGGGGGTGTGTACGTATTTTTCTTGGATACTCTTTATTTCCTGAATAGTATTTTACTAATTGCAAAATAATTGTTCTTAGATTTTATATTTTTTTAATCACCAAATACAGGGTGATTAAAAGGCCCAAAACTGGAGGTCGTTTTTACGAATTCCCATTCATGGATAATCTACACCAAATCAAAAAACACCACGTGACTACCGTACAGCAAATATGACTGCTAAAGTCACCGTAGAATTTTCACCAGCCGTAGAATTTGCTATCGCCCGTAGAAATGATGGACTGCACGCTCGCCGTAGCAAATTTGACTGAGATTTAGTCAATTAATGGGCAATCCACAAACTCTGATTTCCATTTCACCATCTGTCAGTTTCTTTATATCTGATTTCTTGAAGGATAAATATAAATATCACCATACATGAAAAAATTGTCATGTCATTTCTAGTTATCGTATTTATGTTAACTAAGTGATTTCAGAGCTCAGACAGACGGACAGACCGGGATGCGTCGACAATATGGCCCCATTACACTGGTGATCCACTCGATTACGAACCGTTTTGGTAACAAAATGTCGGAAGTCGAAGGCACGATTTTTCTTTTTTCCTTATTTCACGCGTTGTAGGCAGAATCCCCACGACGTTTTTTCTCACAACGTGCAGCAGTATCATATATTTTAGAAAATGTACATGTTTGCGAAAAAATAGCTTAGAGGACAACAGAATCGTCGATTTACTTCCTCACTTAAGTTACATAAACGGTTTTTCGAAAAACAGTTAAGATCTGCACTTTTAACCCAAACCGTTTATGTAACTTAAGTGAGGAAGTAAATCGACGATTCTGTTGTATTCTGAACTATTTGTTCGCAAATATGTACAATTTCTTAAACATATGATACTGATACACGTTTGTGTTAGAAAATGTCGTGGTAATTCTGCCTACAACGTGTAAAATAAGGAAACGAGAAAATCGTACCTTCCGGATGTTCCGACATTTTGTTACCAAAACGAACCGTTTTGGTAACCAGCGTAATCGAGTGGATCACCAGTGCATTAGATGGTGGGGATATAATAAAAAAAAAATGAACACAAGATCTAGTAGTATTACATATATATGAGTTTTTACAATATTGCTGATTAAATATTACATGATTTATAAGTATAAATAATACATCATTAGCCTCCCCTCCGGCATATCATGATTTAGCAAACATGGGCATCTTCGCAATATGACTATAATCGATGTTTCGGTTGACATCGATCATCTACCGCTAGAAAACATGTATTTTCAAAACGCACTATCATTCCTTTGGACGGTTACGCCCTAGCCTGTCATGGGCCTCTGCAAAATGTCCGGCTGACACAGCAGATATAAGTGAGACCTCCAGTGCCATTGTAAAACCCGCAATAATCTCCGCCAATCTGCGCGTTTTATCTTGTCCCTCGCATGCAATGATACGTAGGCAATCACGCTGTGTCGGAAGATTAACAGCGCCACCTTTTAATGACAACATAACTTGCGGCATATCGACTTTGACTTGAACCCCTCCATTTGAATCCTTCTCAATACTTGTATAACACACCGAAGATTCTGAAATGTACCCAAGATTTTGCCCCGTTGCTATAAATATTGCTGTCACCAAATTTGAAGCGTTTGCAGTGGTACCTATTGTGCATGATCGAGTATTCGCGCGCCTTGCAAGCATCCATGTTTCATAAAGCTTCGCTGCACTTGTTTTTAGGTACTTTGCCAGATGATGTTTGGATATGTATCCCTCCGCAGCCACAGCTATTCCCCTTGATGCCATGGAATTATGTTGAACTGGCTTGCGATCTCCAACAAGTCCGCTGTATGCCCAACTTGCTGTTATATCAACATACGGAAGCTCTAGAGGGACTGTTTCTTCTACCCACGTGGCGATGTCCTTAGAGATCGCATGGGTAAGAATGTTTAGATCATAGTCGACAACACAATCATCACTTGTCGTAAATACATGAAGCATGTGCAGAGTCTGAAGAAGAAAATGTGTAGTGTACGTAATTTTAAGTTCACAAGCATGACAGACACGGACTAGTCATCTAATTAAATAATAATCTAAATAATCTAATTGACGGCCCTGTATTCGAAATATTCTTACCTCGCAGTCGATGAACGGCTTCAGCTTTGATAATGTCACTTTGTCAGAGTACCTGGCCACGATCACCCTCTGGATGAACTCCTGTTTACTTTGGAGCCATTTTGAAAGCATATCAGCCTGTTTGACATTAGATGTCACAAACATAGGGCTCTGGCTGATTGTTTCCTTCACTACACATGTAACGACACCGTTTGACCCATTAAAAGCACGTGATCCCCTTGTGGCTGAGGCGACCATGGCGCCCTCTGTTGTTGCGATGGGGGCAACGACATAATCTTTCACATTGGTTCCATTGAACAGTAGGGGACCACCCATTCCTACGGGAATCCGAGACATTCCGATGGGGCACTCTATTAGGCCGTGAAGTTCGTCGGTTGTTGTGTCTGAATGTGGACTCCACCATCCTTTTAAATATGGGAGTTCTTTCCCAGCTGATGATTCTACCCACTTTCGGCGTGCTTCACACATTTCTTCTGAGTGGCCATTGAGTTGGTCACCGGGAACGTACGGAATCCCAGTCTTCTTAGACTGTTCATGGTAGGTCTTGTCAATTACATCAGTAATTTCAACTGGGCCCCATTTACTTCTTCGTGTTACAAACAATGGAACTCTATCTGAAAATGAAATCATTCAAGAGTTTTACTATGCCACCTATCCACAAGCTTACGGTCATATTCTTTCGAAAATGCTGTTACTACCATATGGAAAGAATGCCTCGGGAAAGCTTTGAAAGAAAGTTTGAATTCCCGTTACATATTTTGAGTATCACTGAACTCAAGAAAACAACTGCGTGGCAGTACTTTTAAAGGCTTCAAAGATTCAACATAATATGATGATTGGAATCTGTACCTCCGAAGAAGTGTTTTGCTTTTAGGATATCGACATTGTGTGCTGGATGTACATTAAGATTTATTTAGCTTTGGATTGAAGTTCTGTTTGATTCACGATCTACCATTATTAGTAGCACGATCGACCAACACTCATGGACATGATGGCGTTTGTTAGGCCTCTTTTTTGCTCTTCAATTGGTAATTATTTTGACTGGTGTGGCCAAAGTATTTTTTGAAGGTTATCGTTTGTTCGAATACTGTGCAGTGATTTTCGAAGGATCCTAGTCAAATTATTGATTTTAAGCTATAGATCCAATATGAATGATCTCTTATCATCATACTCACGAAACATTTCATTTTCAATAAAGTTTCACCATACTGTGGTATTCTGTTTTCAAATAGTGGAATGTTAAGCGTCCAGCCACTATTTTTGAAAATACATCTGTATACGTATATGAATTCATGTAAAAAGTTGCAATTTATTAGCGCAATCCTGTTTTTATCTGAGTTGGTACCAAAAACTTGTTTTTATTTTGACCTAATTACCACAATGATATCGGATATATCGGATATCAATGAGAATCGGATGCCTTTGAATGGAGTATATTACAGATTTGAGAAGCAATGGAATGCTTAATATACCAGTACGATCTTATTAAGATTTACAGAGTCATCCACAAAACAACTGTCTACGTTCATAATATATATATCATTAAAATACATAAAAATGTAAAATTCATCATGCTACGGAATGTTAGCCACTTTTAGGGATGTAAAATAAATCGTACATGAGATTTGAATATGATATTATGCATATCATTTCTTTTGGCAGTAGGCTATTCGGTTAGGTCGATATAGCTTACAGGAAGAGACAAAAGTCGACAATAATTGCACTCTGGACATTAAAACAACGATAAAGAGCAGAGTCGTAACTTCCGTTTTTTGGAGCGCGGATCTGAACAAATACTATCAGTAAAACAAAGTATTTTGTTAAAATGCAAACGTCTTACCTATAACTTCAAATGCTCTTATTCCTCGTTGAAGAAATGAAGCAAACATCTTTTTGTAATTATGAAATGTCCTTAGGATGCTTTATACAGAGAATACATGCGTCGACCCTTACGCTTACCCACTCATTTGGGTGTGAAATATGCCATTCTTCTTATAATTCTTATATAAGTGAATCGTAATTCATATTCGTCTTGCTACATTTCAAGAATACTTGTCCGGTCATTCATCGCACTTGAACACTAGAACCAATATTGAGAAACACAATCGTGTTCCGAAGAATACTACATTCACACGGGTCACGTTTTAATCAAATACGGATTAGATGCTATGCCAAGATATTTTATTTTACCCTTGCTACGATTGCATCACGCTAGTCAGTGTTTTGTGTATCCATCTGCTCATTTAAAAATGCTAACAATTCCCTACATTGTCGTCTGTGCTCCACCAGTGTACCTCTGACAAGGTTTACTAGTCTATGATCATCAAATACGTTGTCCTTTTCAATGGCATTGAATTCGCAAACTAATATATCTGAGAGAACTGGGTAGGGCAAACTGTCCTGACGTAAGACTATTTGTTTGACTTGCTCCAAAATAAATAGTCCGTAGTTTTCTCTCCAAATAACAACCAAGCATATCATACAATGCTCAATTCGTCCACTAATTATTACTATTGAAATATGTTTATATGTGATCCTTTGATCAGAAAGTCAAGTTTTCATAGTGTAATGAAAATCATTAAAATAACATCTTACCGTCACCTTACCTTTTCATACGTTGGATAATGAAAAGTTCAAAATGAGATTAGCATCCGAACAAATCCAATGTGTAAATGTAAACATTTGAGTAAAATGCATAATAACAGGTCTTAACATGACACCTTAAAGGTCATCTTTTTATTTAAACACTAAATATACTCGTATGCCACAGCATGTCCTATGCTTTGTCCTTTTTATTAGTTATTTTTGTTTGCAACCAACTATGAAGTAACTTTAGTGCATACTGACAAACGTTAGATCCCTTAATAATAGATATAGTATACCAAAAGCAAATCCACTCGAATTTGTATAAAAGCCTGACAGCCCCAATATTATCATAAAAGCATAGCCTAACGTGATATCAAAAATGAAATTATTCAGTTTATCCCATGTTATCTTGGACTCCAAAGTGGTTATCAATGAACTAAAACATGGTTAATCAATTGCAATATGGCATATTTATTTGTAAATACAAAATAAGAACATTTTATGGCAAAGGTAACAGAATTTCTCTCTTATCGGTCGTTTATTTTCTTGTCAGTGTACCCCTCTTTAAAATAAATACCCATGGGCCAATTAGTGAGAGACTCCCCTAGATATATATGTTCATATGTGCAGTAAAACCTGTATATAGTGAACACATGGAGTCACAAAAAGTGTTCACTGTAGGTAGGTGTTCACTAGGGAGGGAATTTTACACAGGAGTCAATGTAAAATGTGTTCTGAAGTGGTGTCCACCAACACAGGTCACAGGTGTTCCCTAATGAGATGTGTTCACTTAAACAGCTTTAACTGTACTCCAAAAAACAGCAAAATGTGATATTTAAAGAACACTTTTGTTTTATCTACCGAAAATGTAAATATTGTATGATGCACTAACTCAGTAGCCTCGTGCTACAAGAGGATGATTCAAATTTGGTGACAGGTTAGCCCATGACCGTCCTCATCCATTCAAGTTTATTCGTTTGAATAAATCAGTTTGTTACAAAAATCCATCATGTATGTTTGGGTTAGTAAGTCTACCTCAGTGACATGCTTCCACACTAATTCCCAGAAGACTGTTCTATGTATACAAATTCATCAGTGAACACTTGTCACTTATCACGTACATAGAATAAAGATGAAATACAATGGAGACGTACTGCATTTAGATAACGCACAAGCCTTAATAATATTCTCTCGGAAGAACCACTTTGCAAACCCTCAACTACAATCTTTAATTAGTGATAGCCTTCAATCAAATCTGAATATGTACTAGTCAAAACATCCTGACAGTACATTGCTTATGAGTTGCTAACACGGATTTCATATTCAAACTCCTCCATGTATATAAGGGCATGAATGTACGGTTCCATTTGAGATGGTGATGATCATTAAGATTGTAATAGTAATGACTGTTACAATCCATAGACAGAGAATAGTGAGGCAAGCATTTATTTAGGATAAGAGTAACTAACTCCACTTATTCCTGTTCAAGTTCAACGAGTACTCCATCACAATCTTTAGGGTGTAAAAACATGACTGGCTTTCCATGGGCGCCAATTTTGGGATCTTTTCCCAATGTTCTAATATTTTGCGCACGCACAGTTTCAAGAGCCTTTGTAATGTCAGATACCTGGAAGTAAACCAAAGAGTAAATAAGATCGTGAAATATAATTGAACTATTTGTCAAGTGACCTTGCAATCTTTTATTTATTAAGATTAAATGCAAGGATAACATTCAAGCAAATGGAAGTATTGAAACGTTTGCCTATTCAGGAAGTTACTTCTGGTAGAATATCCTGGTTAGAAGCATGATAACATAATCAAATTAAAGCTTTACAATAAGAAACCCCGGGAATAGAACTGTTCTAACATTACCGTTGATGAATTTGAATAACATATTCCAATATAAAAGTACTTTTAATTAGTGAAGGGTTAACTCAAATATAAATTGCTTTGGAATAATTGAGATATTTGATTTGTGCTTCTAAATAGTTAAACTACAGTATAAATATAACCAGTGTTTTTCCCACAGGCAGCACCCATTGAAACCAGTACTATTTGCAGCCAGTGCTCTCTTGTAAACAGCATTTCCTTACAATAAATACTTACTTGAAACCAGCACTTTTTCTGTTCATGAATGCCGTGCACAAGATGTGATCTTATACTGGGAAAATCAGGGGGTTTGGGGTGTTCAAGCAAGACCCCCTGGCAAAAAATTAAGATCATGCATTGGCAAAAGCTGGCTACAGGCCTGGAGTACGAGGGAATCTACATTACTTGAGGATAATGGGGGATAATGGGGGAATTGAGGGTTCTCAGTACCTCTAGACATATGTGATGCATGCCACCTGATTGATTCTTCTCAAGGAACTTGGCGATAGGACTGTTTTCTCCCATAGGGTACAGCAACTAGAACATAAAACAAAAGTATATCGCCATCTATATAATGATTACAAACATTTTCAAAATAGGCAAGAGCTACAGTACTGTTCTGAGTTCTGCTGACCTCTATAATACCAAGCTGGTACTAGAAACATACAATACTCAATCTCATACAATGTATGTACATTACAAGTATATAATAGAGCTCAGTAGGTGCTTCAAAGGTACAAATAATTAACTCATTCAATACTTAGGCAAAAAACACTAAAATACTGAAGAATTTTTGAAAATTGCCATATATGGTACCTCTTAGATAATATATAAATTATATACATGGGCATACATATGTAGTGTTATATATCATTTTAAAGCATATGATATACTCTTTCAGAATCAATAGGTTTTTAAGTCCCATTTTATAGGTTGTCATGGTTACAAGATTCCAAAAAATACATTGGGTTTGTGCTTTGACGTGATATCACGTCCTTCGTAGTCAACATATGTGCTTTATGACGTCATATCATGTCATTCGTAGCGAATGAGTTGATTCATTTCAATCTCAATATGAATAAAACTTTGCGGTTTAAGGTAGCATCTTTTTTCATCGTAGGTTATTCTTATAAAATGATAAAGCAATATGTTATGTTACTAGCATAATTTACCTCTATTTTAGTGTCCCCCAACTCTACAAATACTGTGTAAACCCCATGATCTGGCTGAGGCTAGAACAAAAAGTGTACCTATTAAAAATGTTTGATTAATGACATTATAATTCCCTAAACAAATACCTAACTATTGGGTCATTTTCAAGTGCTTTCTAAATGATTATTATATCTCATGATTTTATAAGGCAATAATAACAGCATGCATAAGTATATTATCAGTTGTGTGTTTAAACCTCTATAAATTATATAATATACATGTAAACATCAAAACAAATGATTATGGTTGTCTTACATGCGCTTCGCTGACTTTTGCCCCAAGTGTGTCTCTGTACAAGGCAGTGGCTTTATCCAGGTCTGGCACTGCAATGGCAACATGATTCAGTTTACCAATGTTCCAAAGATTTTCATTCACAGCGGTTGTACCCTGAAAATGTTATACACGTGGATGAGAAAAGAAATCAAATTGGAAAAATGGTACTAAGATGGAACATAAGACTTACTAATTACCAATAAACTGTTAACTAAAAAGATTAGACTATGGGGTATGTCTTATTACATGTCCTATTGGTCCTGAAAGAGTATATCATATGCTTTAAAATGATATATAACACTACATATGTATGCCCATGTATATAATTTATCTAAGAGGTACCATATATGGCAATTTTCAAAAATTCTTCAGTATTTTAGTGCTTTTTGCCTCAGTATTGAATGAGTTAATTATTTGTACCTTTGAAGCACCTACTGAGCTCTATTATATACTTGTAATGTACATGCATTGTATGAGATTGAGTATTGTATGTTTCTCAGTACCTCTAGACATATGTGATGCATGCCACCTGATTGATTCTTCTCGAGGAACTTGGTGATAGGACTGTTTTCTCCCATAGGGAGATACCTCTGTGAACTTAGGAAAAAATCATTTAACAAGTTATTCTGCCTGGCCTTATTTATTATCTGATGTCTCCTATGGCCCTTTGGTGGCTAAGCCTACAAGTAATACACATAGGGCTCGTAGGTGGCTAAGCCTACATGACATGTAATCAAGCTGGACTGGGTTTAACTTGTTCCCGGGAACTTGTTGAACTCGAAAAAGTAAATGTTCATGAAAATTAATGTAAATATTTCTTTAGGTAAAAAATGGTGCGGATCTGGTGATGAAAATCATTTGGTTTTAAAAAATAATCTCGGGCTGAGAGTGACCCCCCCCCCCCTTCAGAGTGGGCATGGCACATTGATAAGTCCTGTCAGTCGCCTCTCCAACGGAGAAAAGCATTTACTCACCAAACACGATGTTTGCTGAACGGTGGCCACTGGTTTGTTCTAAAAATAATAAAAAACAATAATACATGGTAATAGAGATACATCCCTTGAAATGAATGTCAAACCGAAGTCACACAAGGGCATTTCTATTCCAGCGATATCTTACACGCAACTTACAATAAAATCCAATAATAACTCCCTCAATAGAAACCTATTATATTCATGTAAACCTTTGACAAGTCTAGGAAATCAAAATACACGCATTACTTACCAAATGTCGACTTAAAAGTCGAAGTCGAGTAAACATTTTAGCTGCCATTTTGTAAACACAAAATGACGTCATTTTGGGGAATACCAGGGATTTCCCATATAGAAACTCAGTTCATCCTAGATTCAATACATGCATACAACACGGGTTACTAGAGTATCCGCGTATATTGAGTATGACCTGTTCTAAGCTTACGAGTGTGGCCGTATTTCTGTTCGCTTCCTGGTCATCTCAACCCCAAGTCAACTCAACCCAGTAAAACTCAACCCCAAGTCAACTCAACCCCAAGTCAAGTCGACCCCAGTAAAGCTCAACCCCAAGTCATATCAACCCTGTAAAACTCAACCCCAGTAAAACTCAACCCTATATTTCCATATATTGATAAACTTATAAGAAAGTTTATTTCATAAAAATAATTCTGATTATTCAGTTTGTGGTTTTCATTCTTAGACCACTGCCTTTTTCGATAGTTAATAATGAGTTTATCTCCAAAATCTCAGCATGGTACTAATAGGATTAAAATATGGGTCATTTTATTAATCTTGCTAATACGTTTGTTTTGTTGTAATCCCTATGAGGTTGACACTCGTGATTATTTGGAAAACTGGAACATGACCATTGCTTTCCAGGGACATAGCCAGCTTTCAGTCAGGGGTGCAGATCGTGGCATAAGCGAGCCAAAAAAGATATGTTTTGACAAAAAATGATGCAACTTCCTTCAAAATTGGGGGGTGAGTGTGTGCGCACCCCTCCTGTGACAACTTGATGAATTATCCTTGAGCTTAATCGTTTTTTGGAATACTTTTACAACTTTCTATTCAAAGTATCATGCAAAATGCTAGATTTTCAGAAATGAATTACTTAAATTATTCATCATAAAAAATTTAATTCGACATTGCACAAATGAATAGGGTTGAGTTTTACTGGGGTTGAGTTTTACAGGGTTGAGTTGACTTGGGGTTGAGTTTTACTGGGGTTGACTTGACTTGGGGTTGAGTTGGACTGGGTTGAGATGACTTGGGGTTGAGATGACCTGTCACCTTTCTGTTCCTATAAACAGACGAGGTGAGTACTTGCTTTTTATGAACACTTTCGAACGTTTTCTTTTTATCCTACTTGGTCAATGAATGATACTTGGAATACTTATAATGCCAGGCATATCACAAGGGGCCTTAATCAAGAGAAAACGTATTAATATTAGATTGAAGCCGTAAAATCCTAGTTTCCAGCATCTCTGATCAGTTTTTGTGTAACACAACGCAACTCCGAAGAGGATGACACATCTTATGTAGGCTTATAATATATAGCTAGATCTACGAATTAGTCATGAATATTTTAAATAATTTAGCCTGCTCTGTCCAAATATGATACATCTTTGAATTTTTGAGAATACGAATGTCACTGGTGCCCCATTATTGGAGAATACGGTTGTGAAACAATCAGTGGGCCGTGTTACACTCGTTTCCATGACATTTCACAAGCGTATCCTCTGGGAAAAGACAAATCCTTCTCTTGCTCACTCTACGGGGATCATATAAACTGAGATTTGGAGATCTTGTTCAGGTTAGCCATAAAAAGGTTTGGGATTTGTTTTTTCTACTGTGATATTAATGATTTGGCTCTAAGGCGAGAAATCTGTACTTTGTGATTGATATTCCATTATGAACAGTTACATTGCTAAAATAGCTCATGTTTAACATTTTTTTGTTACATTACTATTAAATACAGCATAAACTATATTCAACAAACACAATTTCAAAAAGGATAATATAGAAGTTAACCTTTATTTTCCATTTTTAAGCAGCTGTGCCTCCCATGACTTTCCAAAACAGGTCATATTCGTAGCCTAAGAACCGGTCATACTCCATATACGTGGAAACTCTAGTAGCCCGTGTACATGACAATAGTGGATGAAGATTTTGAATTTTGAGTCTGGGAAAAAGGTCCGCGTTTTCGCAGAAATTTTTTTGAGCCCCTGAAACCAAAAATTGGGCCCAAATTTTGAAAATTTAAGGCCCATTTTTTGATAAATTGGTCAAAAAAAGGCCAAGATTATGCCCAATTTTTTTTCTGGGCCCACTTTTAAGGATCCGCGCCACTGGAATCATTCGCCATCTGTTGACAGTACTACATACTTCCTTATATTTAGGGCTTTACTCACTAATATTCCACCGACAAAAATGACCGAACGAAATTAGATTTAGAGAGTTAGAGAGCCAGGCCGTCTGTCCGTCCGTTCGTCTACGTCATAGGCCTCAAGGCCGCTGGATAGATTTGATTCAAATGTTATTGGCTCATTTGCCTTGTACGACTTCTGGGAAGGAATTTTCAATATGGAGCCGCTTAATTCAAAATGGCCGCCATTTTTCATAAAATGTAATATTTGAGGACTAAAATACTATATTTGACTTGGTTCAAATTGTATATGCTGATGCCCAGAGACCAAGGCGTGTAGGGACAAAGGAGTTTTGCTCAAAAAGAGATTTTCAAGATGGCCGCTGATTTCAAAATTCCCGCCATTTTTCGTAAAAAATAAAACATTTGAACATAGTCTCAAATGCCGGTGAACGGATTTGGTTCAAATTTTATATGCTGATGCCCACGGATAAAGGAGCTCTTTTTAAGTAGGCATAAGATTGATTACTCAAATACCAGGGGATCGAGGAGGAATTTGGTTATGCTGATACCTAGGGACAAAAGAGCTCTGCTTGAAAGCGCATCCCCACGAAAAAATATGAATTCACCTGATGTTTCAAAATGAATGTTTTAATTTGATGATTTATGTACACTAGTATCCTGCTGACCTATATTTAGCACTGTATTGATTATGGGCCACTTATCTGGTCAAAATTCAATCATGAAGTGGAGAGGCGTAGACAAACCAGCTGTCTGTTTTTGTGTCTGTCAAAATCCATTTGCATCCTGAGCATCCCTCCATCTTATCCAAATATGTTATTAAATAATGAAACATAATTGTATAATCTTTGGATTTATGAAGTTGTTTGACATATGATAAGTGTAAAAGCTGTTTTGGAGCTTTTGTTATGGGGGTATTTGGTCCTTATCGCACCCTTTCTTTTTAAGATATGACATCTGAATTTCAAAATAGTCGCCATTGTTCGTAAAAAACATAATCTTTGATAACTCAAATACCAGTGGATCTTACATGCTGATGCCCAGAGATAAAGGAACTCTGCTAAATAAATGGCTGCAGCTCCATATAAAATGGCTGCCAGCATTTGTCGTTAAAAATGTAATCTTTGGTAAACTAAATACCACTTGAATATATAGTATGCTGATTCCCGGGGACAAAGGAGCTCAGATCAAGAAGAATTTTTCAAGATGGTAGCTGAGATTTATCGAGCGCCATTTTTCGAAAAACCATGATCCTCGTGATAACTCAAATACCAGTGAAGATATTTGGTTCAAATGATATTATATGTGTTGATACCTAGGGGAACCAGGGACAAAGGAGCTCTATGCTCAAGGCGAAATTTTCAAGATGGCAGCTGAACTTCAAAATGGCCACCATTTTTCATAAAAACATAATCTTTGATGAGTCATGATCAAATACCAGTTGACTGATTTTGTTCAAATTTTGTGATCAGTTTTCATGCCGGCCTCTCTCTCTTCGAGACATGTATACATTGTTCGGTGGGATTTGATACTAAGCGGAGTGGCTGTTTTCTAGTTTACTCATCGTATTATTGGTTAGAGACATGCGTATACACGGTGATATACTTGTATGCATGTCCATTTGACATGAAACTTTAAGATAAAGGGGTCACATATAAAACATCGAGGCTCTGAATCCACAGACCCAAGAGATCAATATTTATAACACTAGCATGTGACTAGTCATATGATTTATCATTTCTACCAACTACTATAACTGATATGATGTGTTTAAGGGTTGCTCTGTGCTTTATTTTGCCAGCTGTATTGTGCACCAGCTTCTTCAATCAAACAGGTAAGTTTAGAATTGGCTATAGCCTTTACGATATCTTCATTGGACTATCCCTGCCAGGACTAACTACATTTTACACGAATTGTAGTAAGAAGTATTTAAAACCATTTAATGGGTTGATTGTGCCAATTTTGGATACTTTAGACGTGGAACTGATTATTACTTTCGTTTCTATGGCATCTCGAACTACAACTGTAGAAGTGTTTGAATAATTAAAATAAGTAGGCCCATGAGCTGAAAGAACATTGAGAGGTTGGTGCGGAAAGTCACTTTTATTTGCTAATTTCTCCAGCCCCCATGTTATTTCAATGGGAGTTTTTATCAAAAATTGATAAAAGTTTCGCTAATTTTGATAAATTTGTCTAAATCTGAAAATCAATTTTCTATTATCAATACTATTGGTAAAAAAAATTGGGAGGAGAGTCGATGGGAAGACAAAAGTGCACAAGTTGAATTAGCTAAAATTGATCAATTTGATAATTATCAAAACTATCGCTTTTATAGCTAAAAAATTTTGGGTCTGGAGGTGATGTTCAGAGAAAGTGGCACTAGGTAAATTAGCATTAGCTGATAATATCAGCTAAAAGTGATAAATTTGATAATTATTGAAAGTATTACTTTTTCGCTAAAAAATTTGGGGCTGGAGCTTTTATCGCTAAAAAATTTTGGGTCTGGAGGTGATGTTCCGAGAAAATGGCACTAGGTAAATTGGCATTAGCTGATAATATCAGCTAAAAGTGATAAATTTGGTATTTATCAAAACTATTGCTGCTAAAAAATTTGGGTCTGGAGCTTTTATCGCTAAAAAATTTTGGGTCTGGAGGTGATGTTCATCGAAAATGGACCCAATTTAATTAGCATTAGCTGATAATATCAGCTAAAAGTGATAAATTTGATAATTATCAAAACTATCGCTTTTATCGCTAAAAAGAATTTGGGTCTGGAGCTTTTGTCACTAAAAAATTTGGGGTCTGGAGGTGATGTTCATAGAAAATGGCACTAGGTAAATTAGCATTAGCTGATAATATCAGCTAAAAGTGATAAAGATATTTATCAAAACTATCGCTTTTATAGCTAAAAAAATTTGGGTCTGGAGCTTTTATTGCTAAAAAATTTTGGGTCTGGAGGTGATGTTCATCGAAAATGGCACCAGGTAAATTAGCATTAGCTGATAATATCAGCTAAAAGTGATAAATTTGATAATTATCAAAACTATCGCTTTTATCGCTAAAAAAAATTGGGGTCTGGAGCTTTTATCGCTAAAAAATTTTGGGTCTGGAGGTGATGTTCATAGAAAATGGCACTAGGTAAATTAGCATTAGCTGATAATATCAGCTAAAAGTGATAAAGATATTTATCAAAACTATCGCTTTTATAGCTAAAAAAATTTGGGTCTGGAGCTTTTATTGCTAAAAAATTTTGGGTCTGGAGGTGATGTTCATAGAAAATGGCACCAGGTAAATTAGCATTAGCTGATAATATCAGCTAAAAGTGATAAATTTGATATTTATCAAAACTATCGCTTTTATTGATAAAAAATTTGGGTCTGGAGTTTTTATCGCTAAAAAATTTTGGGTCTGGAGGTGATGTTCATAGAAAATGGCACCAGGTAAATTAGCATTAGCTGATAATATCAGCTAAAAGTGATAAATTTGATATTTATCAAAACTATCGCTTTTATCGCTAAAAAATTTGGGTCTGGAGCTTTTATCGCTAAAAAATTTTGGGACTGGAGGTGATGTTCATAGAAAATGGCACCAGGTAGATTAGCATTAGCTGATAATATCAGCTAAAAGTGATAAATTTGATATTTATCAAAACTATCGCTTTTATCGATAAAAAATTTGGGTCTGGAGTTTTTATCGCTAAAAAATTTTGGGTCTGGAGTTGATGTTCATAGAAAATGGCACCAGGTAAATTAGCATTAGCTGATAATATCAGCTAAAAGTGATAAATTTGATATTTATCAAAACTATCGCTTTTATCGATAAAAAAATTTGGGTCTGGAGTCAATGTTACGAAGAAAAGGGCATATGTGAAATTAGCATTAGCTGATATTATCAGCTAAAATTGATAATTATCAAATTTATCTGATATTATCAGCTAATGCTAATTTCATGTCTGCCATGTATCAAAATTATCAAATTTATCGATAATTGATATTTATCAAATTTATCGCTAATTGATAAAATTTATCGATAATTGATAATTATCAAATTTATCGTTAATTGATAAAAGTGAAGGGCACATATGAAATTAGCATTAGCTGATAATATCAGCTAAAATTGATATTTATCAAATTTATCGCTAATTGATAAAAATTATCGATAAATGATAATTATCAAATTTATCGCTAATTGATAAAAATGAGTTTCCGCACCTAAATGAACATTGACTCGGAAGTATTTGCAATCTGTAAACAGAAAACTGCAGTTCCAAGAAAATGGGAATTACCATATGCATTGAATCATCGGTATCAGCGACTCTCAATTAGTGGGAAATCGTAGTAAAAGTAACCCGATCAAGACAATGTGAAATACCAAATTCACTGTAGGCTTTCCCGATCATGATCAGAAGAGTTGAGGAATTTTGTTTTCCTCATCCTTTTGCTCTTACATCTCGTTTATTTTGACAGTTTGAATTGTCTTACTTGAAATATGTACAAATTGTTTTGGAGGAAAAGTTTAAAAATATAGGCTACTGTAGATATACATGTAGTATAGATGTGAGCAACAAGTCTAGCTGGTTCAATAAGTGATGTTTTACGAATTTCATCATTTGAGTGTTTTATCTAATAAAGTGATGTCAAGTGCAATGTTCAGTGTCACAGCATAATAGTAGGTGTTTCAACATTTTAGTTCATATCGTTTTGGGACTTGGGTGCTTGCTGAGATACTAAACTGATACCCCTTTATCAACCAAATAAATATATTTGCCCTTTTATTTAACTTTTACAACTGTATCAAGCGTCAAATAAAGAAATGTGCCCCTTTATTTAACTTTACAACTGTATCAATCACTAAATAAAGAAGTTTACCCCAAATAAAGAAAATGTTCCCTCGAGCAAACTGTTACTTACCCCGGGTATTTACCCCTGTGTCAGACACCAAGTAAAGAAATTTTATCCGCCCTTTCACTAGACTGCTACCCCTATATCATTTACTTGTTGACTTTAAAATAAAAACAAGTCATATTACGAATATAGCACATAGAAATAGTTGACAACTTTGCCTGACTTTTTCGTATTGTTTCATATCGTCTATTTGGTTTAAAAGGCGCCTTCTTTGATATTGTTTGTAGGTGTTGATGATTCTTGGTCGTTTCGCCATTGTATCAGCAGCAATTCTTTATACTAGGGCATTGTCCACTACTGGTGGCTTAAAACTTCATTGGGCACTTAGATGACACTGAATAATTGCAACGGTGTCATAATTTCATTTGCATCATATAATAAACCATCAATCTTATGTTTTAATTATTTTAAGTTTTTCTGTTGCAGAAGTACTATTCAAGCAATGGATGAAAGAGGTAAGGTATTAGAATTGTGCTCAGTTTTCAATAGTAAAATATGCATCTGAATAATGTACCTAGTCCGATTCAGAACTTAATGAGTTATCATGTGCATGCAGAGATAGACTAAATGAGGTGACTGCAGTTATACATTGTGAATGGCAGAATGAAACATTTTATTTGTATACACATGATACACATATTCATAGCATGTTAAGGATCGTATGACATGCTTCCAGTTGCTACCCTACCTTATTGTTGAACTCCTCAATCATGAAGTTAGTACTTTAATTTCGAATTTTACAGCATTCATCTCACCAGTTTTTGCTGCTTTCACAAATATTTATCAGATGTGACAAGAGATATGAATATATAAAATATCTATCAATGTATTTCTCACATAATCCAGCACAACAAACAATATGGGGATGCGGAAGAATACAACTACAGATTAAAGATATTTCTGGACAGCATGATGAAAGTGGAACAGCATAATGTTGGGCAACACACCTATACTTGTGAGTATAACTCTTGTTCGCGATCAGCGAACATGTACAATCTACAGGGTGGGCCAACAAAAATTGAAACATTTTTCTTTTTATTGAGTTGTCTTTATTTTTGCAGTTCAATCCATGAAAATTCAGATTATGGTAAAATGATTATTTGTGAAAATGTTAAAGATACAAAATATGAATGTATGATTATTTTTGGCTTGTCATGGTCATAATCTGTATTCTGCGTGTGTCATGAAAAATTTCCAAATTTTCTCTGCTTAAGACATCACTGCTGAAAATACAGTATCTTTCATACCATACAATACAGATCCTTCAGATGGTCTCAACAAAATTTCCATCAATTAAAACATATGTAGTTATCTCTAGGGGAAGCAAGACATGTCTCCCTTGGATAATAAAGCTCAACTGACCTCAGTTTTTATTCAAAATTGGCACAATATGTCTCAAAACCTGTGATTGAAGCCATGTATGACTGTCAAATACAGCTAAGACATCCACATTTAAGTCAAAGGAGCACATCCAATGTCAAGTCAATACACCCTTGCTGAACTTAATGACCTCAACCTCAGCCCATGTGGGTCCAAATGCTTAAATATTTTCCAAAGTATTATGTGACATTGTATTCTTTATGGTACACCTAAAGGTGATTCATTTTGTTCAAGGCGAAAATCGTAATGGAGAGTGCACTAGATCCTTTATTTTCATAGTATTGCGGGGTGATTTCTCATAACGATACTTGTAGGATGCCATTTTAAATGTATTTATGTTTTCCTTACATATTGTAATCTGATAATCATGAATTGTTTGGCTTTTAGTGGGATTGACTCAGTTTTCTGATTTGACGTTTGAAGAGTTTTCAGCTCAGTACCTCATTAATGCACCTCAGGTATGTCAACTATTTTATCATTGTCTTCCCCTTTCGATTTTTGTGACAGAATTTGTCTATCATTGTTTGTGTTAATAATGGTATTTTGTGTCTTTTTCGAGGTACCTTTGGCACCTAAAAATCGTTAATATAGGTTAAAATTATTTTTTTAACATTTCCAATTCTAGCATTGTTCGGCGACTAAGAAAGGCAGTTATAGAAGCACAGGGGGAGAAATACCACGCGCCGTGGATTGGAGGAAGAAAGGAGTAGTTAGCCCAGTTAAGGATCAGGTAACTGAAATATTAGAGCCTATTATATTCAGTGTTAGCCTGTCAGTGTTTGCATACACGGCAGTATATACGATACTACACATCGAAAAAATAAGTCAAGTCATTCAATGATAGACAGTACATACTAAAATGTTTTTAACTGCTCAATCTTACAATCTGCTGTATCTGCACCTGTATCACATCAGGGATATCAGCACTGAGGCCAACCCCTCATAAGCGTCTCTCTCAGGACTTTCATCGTTACGAGGCCCATCTGTTGTGTTTGCAGTTTTGTGACTTCTCTTCTTGTTCTAAGGGATGCTTCATGCCCAAACTTGATGTTATCCTCATGAAGACGTCTTATGGACCACAATGTTTTAGGAACTTTTTGTCATTTTTTTGAAGTTTCCTTAAATCTATTTTTGACATCACTTGGATGAAATTTTATTTTTCCAAAGTCCAATCTGGTGATTTGATGATATTTACCTAATCATGGATGAAAGAAACATCTCTGAAATTTTTGACATCACTTGGATGAAATTTTATTTTTCCAAAGTCCTATCTGGTGATTTGATGATATTTACCTAATCATGGATGAAAGAAACATCTCTGAAATTTTTGACATCACTTGGATGAAATTTTATTTTTCCAAAGGCCAATCTGGTGATTTGATGATATTTACCTCATCATGGATGAAAGAAACATCTCTGAAATTACAAAATGCAAAATGCTATGGGTACTGAATATCCATTAGTACAACAGCTTGAATATGATATGCACGTATATGTTCTTTATAACCCATATTAAACAGTTTGATTATCTGATGCATTTTACGCTGCTTCAGCATGACCATGTACTAAGCGAGGAGAGATGTATTGAATGTACAGAATTCAAATTCTATGATATAAATATAAAATAAATATTAACATTGTGCGTATAACAGATTAACGTTTGCTTTTTCTGAAAATGAAGACCAAATATATAAAACAGCTCCAGCAGTGACACATTCTGGCATATATAAAAGTGTAGCTGTAAAAGATACATTAGGAATCTAAATGTATTTCATATGAGAACCCTGGTTTAGAACATGATTCACCATTTATCACTATTCTCCGCCATGCAAAGAGAAATTTAACATTGATTTTTGTAAAACTATAAAAAAAACTATAACTCCAGGTCACTATAATAACATTATGACAAGTTATGATGAAAATATAATGTAAATACTATCAAGTCATCAAATTGTGACATTAAAAGGTTATCCCCGAGTGATGTACCCATGCCATGAAGCAGGCATTTTTACAGTGGAAGACTTATTACGTTTTATAGAAAAATACTTTCACCTACTAGTCTTTTATTTAGGCCCCTTGGGTGTCCTGCTTGGGCACCATTAGCCAAATTTTAACACGATACAAGATGCAATTTTTGTTTCCCAAGTTTCTACAAGTCACTATGTGTAAATACAGATGCACCTTTAATGTCAAGTGTCATTCTGTTATTCTAAGTAAATATATAAATATACGTGTATATAACAATTAATATTCTGTTCTAGGGCAAATGTGGAAGCTGCTGGACGTTCTCCACTACAGGGGCAATGGAGGCACATACGGCTATCAAATACAACGATCATCTCATCCTTTCAGAACAGCAACTAATTGATTGTGCTCAAGACTTTGACAATCATGGATGTGCAGGGTAAGAGTTACTATAGTATAATGAGTGTTAATCCGAAACTTCCAAAGGTAAAATTGTGGCCTGTTCCTCCATTGATTTACACAACTCAGCTGAATCGCCATACTTTAATCTGTTGATCATGTTAATCTGTTGATCATTTGTGCTGTTTTGGTGTTTCTACAGTATATATTTGTTTCATTGTGCTATAAATGTAACATTGTGCTATATTGTAATGAGATACATAGAGAGAACATGATATGATATAAAATAATATCATATGATGACGTGTCGCAAAAAGCTCGCGCACGCATTGTTACACATTTTGTGGCGTAATCCAGAGGATCCTCGCTTTTAACATGATAGAATGTGACTTTTTGAGAAAAATGTACACACATGAAAATCCTTTCGTCCTCCACATTTACCTCTATATCTCAAAACATTTTAGACGAATAACTCTGATATCATATATATATTGTTAATGTGCTAGGAGCATCATAAAACACGAATCAATTGATATTTTAGGTGAAATAAATATACGTGTTGCTGTGCTTGAAAATAGGCGAATGGCGTAAATTAGCCCTATTTTAATGAATTTTGAAAACCTTTCGTCCTCCACTTTTCCACATACAACAGAAAACACATACTTTTGTGAACAAAATCAACTATTTATTAATAAACTACAGTTTAGGAGCAAAATAATCATGTATGATTTATTAAAAATTGATCTCGTATTTTTTGTTTAATGTACACCTGAAAAGTTGAAGGTACCAAAAAATGAGCAAAAAAGGTCGCTGTCAACAGATTCTATTTTTCAGACTCTATGACGTCACAATATGGGACGCTTACTAAAATTCATCCTTTTAAATAAAACTTCCATCTACCTTTATCAAGATGAAAAATAAGTATAATAGTCATATATTGTTTGAGTTATGAGCGTTTAAAGACGAAAAATAATTCAAAATGTAACGTGTCAACATGGGATATTTGCCAGATGTTTTGGTAAAAAACTCTTTTTTAAAAACGAACGCGCAAAAAATGTTAACGAAGTGTAGTTGATCTTAAATCTTCATCGAAACAGCTTTAAAATGATATATAACTTTAATTAGAATATTATCTTATAATCCGGGGAATCAAAGTTACATTCACGCGATACCCTTAAAAAACAAATGCGCCACCTTTTTGCGACACGTCGATATAATACAATATAATATTATATAATATAATATAGGCTAATATAATATGATATAATATAAAAATAATATATTGGAACATGATTTAATTCTAAACTTTTGAAATTCATTCAAAGAATTTCCACTTTCCAGTGGCTTGCCTTCACACGCTTTTGAGTACATTCATTACAATCCTGGTCTCATGACAGAAGATGACTACCCGTATACGGCAAAGGTGAGTGGTTTGTTGCAATGGATTCGATGTCTTATAGGTAATGGTTCTCTAGTTTACATCAAAATCTCTCGATTTATGAATGGCCTTTCAAAAATGTCTTTTAAGTCCAGAATATATGTACAATGTAGTGGTGATTAGTATTACTATAATATTTTCAGGAAAAGAGGTGTAAGTTCGAAAAATCTAAAGCAAAGGCTTTTGTTGCTGATATCGTCAATATAACCCAGGTAAGGTGTGGAGTTGCAAGTTATTATGCTAGGGACAAACAATGAGTCTTGGGTATTAGGAAAAATGATGGCCAAGGATTGTGTTGCTACCTAAGTGTGCTTTAACATATCATATCACACAATAAACAGTTTCACCCTGATTTGGGGCAGATAACATTTGAACATGGCAGATACCTATATTACAAATTCCCTTAAACTTGAATATGTATCAGTTCTCGTGGATCAATTCTCATATGTATCGGATTGATACAAATGAAAGTATGTCCAATAAAACAAAGTATTATCTGCACAATAAAAAAAGATATTTCACTTTTTGTGATTTTATAATCTTTGGAATCTCCCCGATAAACTATTTTTGAAACAACATTTTTAGATGTAATTTTACATGTAAATTTCATATATGATATCCCTTTGACTGAATTTTGAATATTTAATGGTGCAAATAAAAAGTATTTCTTCTCACATCTGGTCTATTGAAATCTTCATTAAGGGTAACGAGGATGAATTGAGGGATGCTGTTGCCAACGCCGGACCAGTCAGTATTGCTTATCAGGTTGTGGATGACTTCAGGCTGTACAAGAGTGGCATCTATATGAGGTTGGTATCTTCAAAATAACATTCCTTTCATTGCGGTGACATCTTTGAGTGAACTTCATCACACTACCCTACCTCGATCGCGCATGCGCGAATCTTTTGGCTTTCAAACATGTCGCTTTTGAGTATATCGACTGCTTAGTCAAAAGGTTAATACGTTTGGTGCTCGGAGTGAGTCAATATTCCTATTCGCTACACTTCAGTGGTGCAATAGTGAAGTCCATGTTCCAAGTTATATGATAGTTGAAGAAATAATGTAAATAATATCGTTTTAAATTTTAAAATATTTGATATGTCATAGTACACGGTACACAGCTGCAAAAGTTGATCAATACAGGGTACAAGGAATGTAAATTGTTCAATAGTACAGGGAGCGAGAAAGTAAGCTGATTATACAGACATACTATGTCCCGACCTCATGTACATTTACGTTGCAAACAGTGAAAGTAATGCTAAAAAGGCCGCCTGTTGATGCTTTGAGGTGTCATCAATTGTTATTTTATCCAAATAAAGTAAACATTATTTTGTAGATTTAGACACGGGCTTTCAAGTCGTATGCATTTTAGTCACTGGAGAGGTTAAGCTAACGATGTTTTTCACAACGTAACCGTGAACGCAAAGTACAAAAATTAACAAAGGAATGTATCGAGCGCTCATAGTTTTATGCGCGCTTAGTCTACTTCAGATACTCTTTCAGCTTCATAGTTTCGGGTTTAGAACGGGAGATTTTGAAATTTGACGTTGGGTCAACGGGAACCATTTTACTCGTGTCTATTGAACACTATGCTGTCAATTTTGATTTCGATGCACAGTTGAATTCTTGCTGAACACGATGATGTATGTCATGCATGATTTAGCGCCAAAAATCTTACGAAACGAGCTCGTTTAAAATATGTATTAGAAAACCAGCTATAAAACCGCATCAATGACATACTATAGAATCATTACACGCTATGGTGTAGTCTAAACAAACACTGGATTTGAACGGCTATTTATATGAGAAGGCTACATGAATTTGTATATGGTCGAGTGATACGTACAGGTTCAGTTTCGATTATATATGCAAAGCTTAACCTCTCAATTATACTAACAAGAACGCTAGATTATACGTGTTACTAGGGTATCAAATTGAAATAAAATAACGAAATTAAATATCAACACGTTAATGATAAATGACTATCCGCTATCAGTATTAATGACTATTTGCTACTCAGAATAATTAAAATTGCCTGAACTACATATGAAGAATCTTTCTATAGAACCCCTTGAATGGTCTAATTCACTACCGTCCTAAAAACCCGACCATTCAAAATGTTTTGTTCAAATTCACAAAAATACAGTTGACCAACATACTAGAAAACGTATCCACCTATAACACGATGACACGCAGTTTAAACAACAGTTAACTGTTTTTTTTGTTACATATCAATGTAACATTTTCGAAGGGACACTTACATGCTCCCTGTACGTTGATAGATTTACTGAAATGTATCGTGTATTGCATTTGGTTTTGCTTCACTGCGCCCACTATTATCTATCTTTGCCTATAGTGGTTTTTTGCCAACAATATTCTACACACTCCTTGATGAATCAATTCTATGTCTGGTAGAACACTAGAAATATATGTAAAATGTATCTTACGTTCAGAAATATGGAATTAAACCCACGTCCTCCATTTGCAACTAAGCTGTACCCTGTTTCCCTTTTAAACGTGGTCACGTGGTAGGGTAGTGTGTTCATGTGTATTTTGTAACCCTTGATACTAACGCGAATAGAATCAGACAAAACAAAACAATGTCTAGTTTTGAAGTTTAGGTTTAGGTTGGCCATATGAATCATTTAATAAACAAGGTTTTTACTATACGTTCTCGTCATTTGGTTGAGAAGAACCTGAAAGGAATTCCTCTGTACATTTACCTGGTTGTAGTGACAAGTGTAAAGATGGGCCAATGGACGTAAACCATGCAGTACTGGTGGTTGGTTATGATGAAAAGATTGGCAATGAGGGTAGATCAATACCATACTGGATTGTCAAAAATTCATGGGGAGAGAAATTTGGCATGGATGGGTAAGATATGTAATCAATACAAGTTGTAACTTCAATGTACAAATTCTTTACAAACTTTTCTTTTTAAATTGTAATAAAAGATACAATTTCCAGATTATATAATGCTGAATGTAAAACATTGTATTTTTGGAACTTTTGTAAGAATTTGCTACTTGTCACTTGTAGATTGTTCAGAACTGTAATTTATAATCTTTTATACTATGTTTCAGTTATTTCTGGATGATCGCAGGCAGGAACATGTGCGGAATGGCAGTGTGCAATTCATATCCACTAGTCTCTGATAAACCATAGACACAAATACATGAATAGGTCAATATGACTGTAATGTAGAAGGATCGCTGACGTTTCTGCTCTATTCCAAAGAATTTTTATCTATTGCTGTTGGAACTTGGTATCTTATATCTATTATGACTAATATACTACTATACGGCATAAAACAACTGAATGTGAATGATTAAAAATAGAGTCAAAAATGCTGCTCTTCCTACTTTCTTTACGGGTTAACAGAAGGCCTATGAATTTATAGATATTGGAGTATTAGTTGATGGCCATATATCTTATAATAAAGCTATAAAGAAGCTCACATTTATCATTGTTTTAAAATAATATCGCCTTAACTCTCTTAGTGCCGCAATAAATTTCAAAACATATATCTCAGTGCCACATTAATTTTGAATCAGACAGCTTTTTGACATATTTTGCACTTCCATCATTCAAACCTGAATTTTAGATTTAGTTTAGAACCAAATGCAATGAAACTTGACATGGTGTATCATAATAACACTGGCTTGAAAATGCATGTACAACATTATGTCAATGGCTGTGCTGGTTACCATGGTAACCATATTAATCTTGAAATCTTATAAAACATGAAAATCGTGAAATTTTCCAATTTGAAGACAATATTTCTTATTACTGGTACCAGCGCATTCCATCTTAATTTCGGTTTTGGAACACAGGAATCGTCTCTTACTCAAAAAACACATTTATCAAGTCTAGATAGTGTATCCAAACTTGATGTGCTGATATTAGGATATGATTGATTGATGCCTTAATAGGTTTCAAAACAGACGTCTCAGTGCCGCATTGTCTTTAAATCGGACAGGTTTTTGACATATTTTGCACTTCCATTATGAGAACCTGGATATAAGACTTAATCCTGAACCAAATGCAATGAAACTTATCATGGGTCATGAAAATAACAAAGGCTTGAAGATACATGTATAACACCAAGTGATGGCGTTGTGGGTTGCCATAGTAACCATATTCACCTTGGTATCTTTAATAACAAGAAAATATTCAAATATCTCTGTTCAAAGACAATGGTTTTGTATTAGCAATATCAGCACATTACATGTCATTTTTATAGTTGTTGCATGTCAGAATTATTTCTTATTCAGAATAAAACATTCTAAATTAAATAAAGCATACAGTGTAGGGTTGTATCCAGATGTTTATATATAATGTCTTAATGTGATGATAAGATTTCAAATATTGAAGTCTTTGTGACACATTATCATTTAAATATTATAAAGTATAACATTTTGTAAAGATTTTTTTGAAACTGTATTGCTGAAATACAGATATTTCATTCAGTTGATAATGAGTTGTTGTGACATTTGCTATGGGTCATCATGATGACATTATCTTGAAAGTTCATAAGAAACTTTAGTCCACTTAACATATCTGTTACCATGGTAACCATATTAAATCTCAGGTAAAAAACATCAGGTAAAAAAAAAATATATATAGAATTTCAAAAAATTTCAATTTCCTATTCTGAATTATTTAGCCTAGTCTATGCTAAATCAAGAATGATTGAATCAGCAATTAATACTTACTCTTTTATGAGTTTGTATTTGTATTTTTTTTCAGAAGATATAAAAACAATAAAAAGGATGTGTGCAGAAGTAAAATTATATAATCAGTGGTCCACCCTGTAAATGAAACATGTTTACCTTTCTGTATTTTGATTACTGGAGTTCACCTCAAAATGATATCTTGGGAAGCATCTTCCAATACAAAGAACAATGCACCAGTTTAATTGTTGATTTGTAAAGATGCTATGTTGAGCATCAATATTATGTGTTGCCATTCATGTTTGTGAAAATAGGTATATGTTGTAATATTAACTACACATCGGAAGAATGCCTTCTTCGTGCCAGATATTTGTGTTTTACATTGAACAATAAAATGTAAAACATTTTTACTGGCTCAGCACAATTCTTTTCTCCAGACTGATTATAAGTACACTAAACTGCAACAATAATCATTTATTTTCAGATTCACTTTTAAACTTCTGGCTCATTAGGTTATGTACAGTACCAGGTATCTTATCAATTAAATGATATTCCTTCAATCTCCTTTCAAAGGCATTATGCCTTGGTGTCCAAATAAATGTCGTTGTTCTCGTGTCATCTGTAAATCAAGTTTATTTCCATAATGGTAACTGAATCCAGGAATCTGTGCCAGTCATCTTAGCTGTTGACTGAAAAACAACAAATGAATTGGAATAAATTATATGCACTTCATGCAATTACATGTATGCAGTTTGTACTTGGTTGGGGATGATTTCATCAACAACAGAACCACAGGGTGAGCCAAAAATGCCACTTTAAAAAAATGCTTTAACTTTTTTATTACCCAACCTGCATGCACACAATTGTGCAGTTATAAAGGGCCAGTGGTCCTGATTAATAAAGTAGGCTAATGTAATGAGTACTTTAACTTAGGATTTTATTTGCTCTTAAAGGAGATATTCAATTGGTTCACCACCCTTTTTGATGATAGTTTTAGTTTTGGTTCTCATGCTGATAGAGCATAATCAATGAAATGTTGGCTAAGTTTCTTCCAACATTTCATTGCCCATTTTCTGGAAACCTCTCTAGTAAATGAGTACAATTCATTACGCATGGCTGGATTGCATTCTCAAGTTTCTTTGGGTATAAATATGATTTTGGATCAAATATTAAAAAAGATTATTAAACCCATGTATTATAAAAGAGTCGATAAAAGATATAATAAAAATTATAACATACTGGAACTCCATAAAAAATTCAAATATACAATTTAACTTTGTTCTATGTTTCACTTTAACCAATCAAATCGTTTGAATTACACCATGTGACTAAGAATTATTATAATACAATTTTAAACCAAGAATTGAATTTATTTTTGAAAAAAAAAATGATTAGAGAAATTTGTGTCCATTGAAAATACATAGCAAAACGGACATAGTTCAGCTTTTATCTTTCAATGTTAGTGATACGAAAAACTGCCTAAACTTTCAAAAATTGATTTCTCCATTTCACAAAAATGTGAGTTGGGACATTTTTATTCTCATAGGGCGATTTGTAAAAGTATTATTACCTGTTGTTATTATCAAATGTGATGCAATTGACACTTTTTATCTTAATTTAATGTTTTCATAAAAAGTCAACTTTTTCAAAATATAACAAATAATATTTGGATGATTAAACATGGGGCCATTCATAATAAAATATTACTAGGGATTTTACATAAATAGCCATACCTGCAGTCATAAATTGTGGTCATATAATCTGCTAGATCGACTCCTACTTTGTTCTTTTAATATTTGTGTGTATCATTTCAGGTTGATGTTTTCTACTGCACTGCTCCCATGACAGTTATAACTAAGCTATGTATCTCTGGAAAACAAAATTGAAACATGAATAAATATTCCTTTCAAGTATAGTCAGCTATGAGTATAAGGCAGGACAGGCAACTGTTTTTTCAACGTTTTTGTATAAAATTGTAAAAATTATGTCACAAAGAAATATAAAATTTGCTCTTTGACTAAAATTTTAACTTGCTGTGGTTACTTTTGGATCCTATGTTCAGTAACTTTAATAATAAAATGAACTGCTCGCATTCATCTGAACTCCATTTCTTGAATATGTAATAAAAATAGTTCAAGTTATTTCTTAGATATTGACAAAACAAAATAAAACCTTTTTCAACAAGAACAGATTTCTGCTTTTTTGAGGGGACTAAAAATGAATACAGTGAAACCCGTACATCCGAACACCTGGCTAATCCAAACATTTTTTGATGTCCAAATTTTTTCCTCCCATTGATTCCTATGTTAAAAAAACCTTGAAATCTGAACACCTCTAATGCGAACACTCATATTTGAAAAATAACTTGTCTAAAACAAACACTTTTCACAAAATATCACATATTTCTTGCAAAACTGCTCACGTATTTTCAATTTAACACTGATTTCTTATGCTATCAAAACTTTTGAAAAAACAACAAATGATCTCAATCTTAATTGGTTTCTCTGGCATGACTTTGGAACAAAGCTATGTTGTCAATAAAAGTATTAATATTAATTCAGAATGATTTTATGCATTTATATTTCTTCAAAAGCAAGAATCTTGCAGATGAAACCACCTCGAAATCTCAAAGCTTTTAGCCAGCCCTACTGGCATTCGGATTAGACAGGTTTTACTGTATATATTTTGCTATCTGAAATGATTTAGGAAATTGATAGTTCGACCAAACTTTATCTCGTGCATTGGACATTTATTTTTTTGTCAAATAAAATGATGGCTATGTTTATGATAATTGTTATTATACTGTATTTGCTGCTTCATACTTTGCACAGTATCTGCATGGAAAAAATACATGTACTGTATTACAATATCTAGCCCCGGGAATCTAGCATGATATACTGTATTCTCTGTAAATTTCCTGTTCAATTATATTTTGCACTTTTCATGATTTTTTGAAGATTCACAAAATGTAATATTGTATTCTATTAAATGAACACATAGTATCAATAAAGTACATGCGACTTTCATGATCTCAAGAAAACACAAAGTTTAATGCATTATAGTTTTGATTATTATTGAATATGGTATATGATTAATCTAATTCAGAGAAAGATATATGGGAGCTGTACAGTATGTAAACCTCAGCTCAGTGATAACATCTTGTAAAAAGATTATTGGCGATATTTTTTCTACCTATCCCTTCGACTGATTCAATTTCAACTGATTCATCTTGGGAAGTACAGTATGCTCTCATTGGAGAGAATACAGTAGCCGCAAAATCCCAATAGTTCAATTTCGCACAATATAAATTTTAGTCTAGTGCTTGGTGAAAAAAGGTAGAATGGTACTGTTTTCTTAATTTTAAGTTGGGTTCTAAAAGATTTTAATCAAAGAAATTAAAAAAAACTGGAAAAATTTGTTCCCAAATCTACAAAAAGTACAAGCCATGAAATTCAGAAAACTGAAAGTTAGTGAAAATAAATAGACACAAAATTTCAAAACTGCGAAAACATATATTCTTCTTGATTTCGTTATTTGGGAAGTTAAAACAAGTCATACATATGTACCTCCTTTATCTATTTCTGGTCATTACTTTCCAATGTTCATGGTATCTATGGACTAGCATCCAGTATGTCTTTCTGATGACACCAGATATACAGCAGGAGTCCAACGAAAGCTTTCTCGGGTATGTTAGCATCGGTCCACTCATCCTTCCCCTACTTTCTTTGCTGACAAACCAACATTTTGCTACTTTGCCGCAACATACGTATTTTCCTAGAATGCCTAGAAAAGAATCAAATGCATTCAATAATAAATGAATGAGTACAGAATACCTTACCGTGGTGATCAAAAGAATTTCTATCTGATATTCCGCAACCATTGGTATTACAGTGCTCTGTCATTGTATGTCATTGAAATCATGCAGTACTTCTGGTACACTAAGATTATGTACATGTAGTCTGCTGAGAGTAAAAGTACATAAACAATGAACTACTTGGATAGTCGTTACGATTTCAGTTTTTACAAGGAATATAGATATCATGCTTACCTATCAAAGATGCCATTGGATACACCACAAGGCCCAATTTCACATGGACATGTACTGAATCAATGTAAACAACTGGGGAAAATTCAGTAAAAAAATCCATTGTACAGGAAACCTCCTTTTCCGGTGAACTGACAACATTGGATGTGATCATTTCTGAATAAATCGAATCCATGACATCCTCTTCAACATTTTCATCAAGGTATTTGCTTGATAGGTCTGAATTTAAGTCTTTTTTACTCCAAAATCAAAATCTCACATGTTTTTGTCAAAAACAAAAAACGACTGATTTGTGGCAGTGTATGCTGTAAAATGAAAGTGAAACGAAAACTTCCAATCTGCTTCAGCAATGACACACGCGAGGTACTTGATGAATATAGCTCCAAATCAGATTACTTTGTATTATTGATAGCATACAGAATGCATTCATAAGTCATAAAATCTGCTAAACATACATGTAGACCGGGGATGATCTTCATTTGAAAAGTAGGTTAAATCTATGAACCGATCATTCTCAAGATATATATATTTTAGTTACACTTCTTTATATATATCATTTTATAATAATATGCATTTAGAATTGAGTAATACTCAAATAAGATTATAAATTATCGTTAAATTTTTCGTTTGCAAGCATTATTGAAGTTTTTATCAATTATTAATCAATTATCATACGTTTCAAAATGACATGTCAAATGGATTTCCCCAGGGATTTCCCCAATGGCGCCATATTGAAAATATTTCCAAGACGTGGAGGAATATGTCGAGTTTCACTCTAATTTCTCCTCTTATCACTATTCCATTGGCTCAATATGAGGCATTTACATAATGTATAGTACTGAAGTATGTAATCAGATAGTTTTATTGTGTTTTCAATCACTTCTGAATTGGAAATACGAACATATTTGAGTTTTACACAATTTTCCTTCAAAAACGACCTAAAAGTCGCACCGGCACTGAGACGTCAAACGAACAAAAAGTCGCACCGGCACTAAGAGAGTTAAGGGCCCCAAAGTACAATAGCATAATTGTTTATCGATTACAGTTTAGTACTTTATTATTGCTGTGGAAATAAAGTAATATAATTTTACTCAGTGTCTATTTTCTGCAATTGATACTTGGTCACAGTGACACCCATGTGCAATGTATCATAGAAATTTTCCCATCCCGTTGTATTCTGGTTTATCGGACACACTCTTATCTCTCGTTTTGGAAAGAAAAAGACAAAAGGGGCGCGGTTTTCACGATTAACCTTTTGTAATTTCATCAACAATCTTCAATTTGGGTTACATGGTCATATCACTATCATAGAATCGTGTATACGGAACTGCTATTAAAAGAATACCTATTGTTAAAGCCAAAGCCAAAAGATAACTTATAAATATCAATTTGTTCATAACTTCTGCAATGTATTCCCACTCGTGCTTCAAATCGCCTAACTTTGTTGGACTTGGTCCTATCTGCTCATACGTGTTTCCTCTATCGTATTTAGTAAAATCATGTTCGATATAGTTATCCTCATAATGTTCAACAGCGTCCCCATATTCTGATATGTTTTCTTCATCAGAGTCTGATTTATATTGATTTCGTGCATCACTGTACTCATATGTTCCAGTACTTTTATAACCATTATGCCCATTCCTTATATTTTGCCTTTGGTAGAATTTAGTTAAAGTATCATGTCCTGTGTACCCGTTTGAACCGTTGGAACTATGCGGGAGCCGTTTATATGTACTGCCATCTCCCTTTGGAAGACTTGTTTGTCGTATATATCGTGTGCTTAGATCTGCTGCATTTTCATCCTGGTCACTGTCGTCATCATCGACGTCACATGTGCATTCGTCTATTTCATCGTCATCCAGCTTTGTCAGAGTTAGTTTACCTGCAGGTGTAGAAATAATCAATAGGGACGTAGTTATGCGAATCACCAATGCCTATTTTAGGAGGGCAATTTTGGTGGCCTCGATCAACGCCATGGTACCTGAACGTAACGTGTTTCGCATTGTGCCTACAAGTATGCCCAATCCCTAAGTCCTCACTCTTTTTAAATAAAGTCAATTATTTGAATTAAAACAAATCTATTGTATAATAATTAATTCCTTGTATAATGCCATTAACTTCTATCACATGATTCAATATTGTCTATTTACGCAATTTAAAATTTACCCAGCCATTCTGTAAGTCTCCACAGCCATCTTGGAATGGGTGGTATGGGGTGCCTACTCCCACGTTTCTTGATATTCATCACCATGACTGACGTTATCAACGAGAGGGCGTTTAATGTCATCACCAACGTTAGGAAAATACCTGGATCGAAGATAAAGACAGTAATAGGATACACACCATTGATTTATTGTTTATCTCGGGCTATTTTTAAATGATGAAGAATCGAGTAACTTCTCATCAGATCAAACTAATGAAGCCATTTCATGTCAATACCTAAACATAAGTAGATAATATATACAAATACATAAGAAAAAATTTAGTCTTTCGTATACTAGTAAGTCAGAAAAAACGTTAGAATTTTATCAAGCTCACTTATCACACACTTGAAAGCTTGTATGCGGGATTGAATATATTGAGATATATTTTGGTTAGAAATGGTTAATGAGTGTCATTAATACAGGTATAGTACACAATCTCTGTGATTTTCATGTGATTGTATTTACCTAGAACAGGATTGGTGTTAGACTCAGGGACGTTCTCAGCAATCGCTATCTGTAGTACATACAGTGTCACAAACACTGTTAACCCTATAGCTATCTTCTTCCCAGAGTCGCATGGCAATACGAACGAAAACAGACTCATCAGACAGAGAATGACGGTGGGGGCTACGATAGTGTACATATAATACAAGGCTTTCCTTTGGAAGACAATGTTTATGTTTATGTGCATATACTCGCCTCTGAACCCGCTGGAAAGGTTCGTGAGGGTTTCAGTGAGGTTTACTCTGAGAATGTCAAACTCGCTATTAGTGACAAACCTGGACATATCTGCCGTATCTGCAGACCGGACCATCCGCACCTAAAACATATTACTGATATATCAGTGAAGCTGCTTGAACCTTAAAGGCCCATCGGTGAGAGTTCAAGCCGAGAATGACTTTGTTGATTGAGTCACATTTTCAAATTGGATGAACGACTTTTGGGTGTAAAAGTACTGTTATGTTTTGATAGCAAAAATAGTGTTAACCTACCTGCGTTGTGTCATATGACCAGGAACCAAACATAATGATACACTTCTGTCTGTCGAAGGGGAAATACGTAACATCGACTGCACACGAGGACTTCACTATCATAGGCACAACCCAGCGAACACGACCATTGGAGTGGATGAGAACTCGCGTATCATTTTCACGAACAAATCCTTTGGCTCCCTTGTCGGCGCTGGAATAAATGATCCGTTCAGAATCACTTGATACGCGTAGAATGACCATACACGTTCAAAACAACAAGAATCTCCAAGAAAGGCTATATATGATATACATGAAATAATACAAACTTTTATCATGAATGACCAGATATATTCAAAATAACAAACATTGACGTTTGGTTAATGAATAATAACAACGAAAAACCAGAATGCTCAGATACTGACCAATACTTACTTGTTGAGCAGGTAGATATCAGGCAGCCATATACGTTCAGAAGGAATGACCAGACTATCAAGATCCTCGTACTGTTGAGGAGACCAATGCAAGTTATCGTCTTCCCATTCCTAGAATAAGAACCATTGTTTATTTTGCTTTGTTTTACTCATCATCGATATTTATAGGATATCCTATGATTTTGAGGAATATCATTTTTATCTACGTGGTTATATTGATATCTGCACGAGAGAGCATTTATCGAACGAGTGCAATATCAATATCACCAAGTAGATTAAAATTATATTCTGAAAAAAATCATAGGATGTTCTTATTATCCTACACTTACAAGGAGTGTACCAAATGTATAATATCATCGCAAAATGAATTTTATGCCAAATAGAGTCAATTTGGCGGGAAATCAACAAGCGGAGTATATCGTCACGATATCCTCCGCCCGGAGTATATCATCACGATATCCTCCGGATATTCATTTTGCCAATAGATATCAAATTTATTTCTTAATGTTATTATACATTTAGTACACTAAGTGTAGGATAACATTGCTTATCCCAAGATTATTGTGTTATCTGTACAATAACATCCAGTGTTTCTGATATTAAGGTGATCAGTGTGATATTTTTCAGAAAATCGCTAATCAGTGTCATAAGCGGCTGATATAATTTATCATGCGTATGCATAAATTTGAATTTGAGATTTAAAAAAAATGATCATAGGATAAGCCCCATATCAAATCATTTCTAGTTTATTGCCTCCTAGAAATCAAATATCAACATTTGTTCGCTTCGCTTACTCGTGTTGATATTTAATATCAACTCGTCGATAAAATGATATCACTCAAAATGATCTGATATTCTGTATTTATCAAAAATAACAATTTACAGATATAAACGTTATAATGATTACAATAGTTGATTAAGCTTATGGTATATTTCGCATAGTTGTTTATAGTACTGTTTTAATCATTGTGAAAAACAATCTGTATTTTCTAATGAGCCATTTGTGTCTAGGCTATTATAGGGACTTGCTCGAAAATGAAGCTTGAAATTGATGTCCGGGAGTTGTTCCCTTGGCGACTATTGCCCCTCCTAGAGCGCTCTCCGTGCATTGGCGCTTGATTGAAGTACACACATCTCTTAACCTCATTCTAGTGTTCAAAGTGTTTACCTCATATATCCACACCTGTGTGATAAGAGTCTGATTCTTCTCATCCTGAAATAAACATAAATGAATCACCATAGAAACGACACTGTTTCAGTTATCATGGTAACGGAATTCGATTTTAATCAAGCGATGTGCTTTTCTTATTTAACATATTGAATAACCCGAGAGTGCTATAACTTGATGTTATACTACTAGACCTTCTAGGTTAAAATAAAAATGATTAAAAAATGCAAGAGTATAATGAAGCCTTCAAAACCGTCTGTCCGGAACATGATTAACTCGAATTCTGATTCTGATTCCGTTTATCGGATCCAGTTGTCAAAGAGCCTTTCTTGTTCTTTAGTTTCTGAGTTAAACAATTCTGGTTATTGAATACGATATAGACGGTAGTCTTGCATCTTTGCTCCTTTGACAATTCTGGTTAAACATTGAATACGATATAGACGGTAATCTTGCATCTTTGCTCCTTTGACAATTCTGGTTACACATTGAATACGATTTAGACGGTAATCTTGCATCTTTGCTCCTTTGACAATTCTGGTTATACATTGAATACGATATAGACGGTAATCTTGCATCTTTGCTCCTTTGACAATTCTGGTTATACATTGAATACGATATAGACGGTAATCTTGCATCTTTGCTCCTTTGACAATTCTGGTTATACATTGAATACGATATAGACGGTAATCTTGCATCTTTGCTCCTTTGACAATTCTGGTTACACATTGAATACGATATAGACGGTTATCTTGCATCTTTGCTCCTTTGACAATTCTGGTTATACATTGAATACGATATAGACGGTAGTCTTGCATCTTTGCTCATTTGACAATTCTGGTTACACATTGAATACGATTTAGACGGTAGTCTTGCATCTTTGCTCATTTGACAATTCTGGTTATATATTGAATGCTATAAACGGTAGTCTTGCATCTAGTCTATGAGCCCCCCCCCCCCCTCCTTCTACACCACCTACTCAAGTTGGAGGTGATGTAGACGGTAAATAAGGGGGTGGCACAAGCACGCGATGTCTTGGCAAACTTGCATTGGAAAAATTCGTTGGGATTTGCAAATACATGGAGTGGATGATCCAGTGGATGATCCAGTTTGTTTCCCTGTATGCCCTTAAATTAAAGAGTAACATTTTTTGTCTATGTCAAAAATTGTATATTCGTTCTGTTGCCCTAACTTTATCATTTTGGGAATAAATCTAATTTAATCTTAACCAATATCTAACATGGATATTGCTTTATAACCGGTGAAGATCAAAATAACAATTCCAAAAACTTTCCCAAGCGGACTTTGATGTCCTGATTGCTCTACTTGTCGGTTGAGCCAAACTTCGCCTAGCTATTTATCAATGCAGCTATATTTATAATTCAATAAAATAATTTCTCAAAACGACTCAAACCCAATTTGCAAAACAAAAATCAAATTATCATTCAATAAAAACAGAGTTGATTGATTATTAAATTCCCCAAATAATTGTTGAAATTTACCAGTTGTGCTATTTGGTTTAAAGCTATGCCGAATTCTATTACAACCGTTTCATCTGCCCTCATGACGGGCCGGGCTGAGGCATCGTAAGTCGCCATCAAGTCTTTATAAAGCCTCTTCTCTGCGTTTTGACTCGTTACCATGGCGACCTTGATTACTGAAAATAGATATGTCAAAGAGGCTTGTAACGTTGATCCAACGGACCTCAGCTATGAGATAGATGAGCACGAATTGCATAATAACATTGCAATTGTACATATTACATGTACGTTTTCTAGCTAATCTTAATACAACGCAATTCATTAAAATATATGATAGGCTAGTTTCATGCATAACTGGATCAGTGTCAAAGGAAGTCGTATCAAGGATACACAATATTTGGAAATTTCTCCTTGTCTTTTGTTTTCATTATGCTTCTTTTATTACTGATTGTCATTGATTATTGTTTTCTCGTTAGTCGTTCCAAATTGACGCCAAATTAATGCCCCTTGGGGACATATAACCATATATAGGGATTCGGAATGTCTGAATTCTTGGTCTAACTCTCGAAACGTGAATTACACTATCTGACTATGTATTACACTGAACAAAATGTAATCATTACGAATATAAATAATAATCAGATATTAGACATGATAAATAGAGTAATTAATCCCAATGGGAGACTGGTCTGTGAAATATCAATATAGGAAGGATTCTTTCATTTATAAGCCAAGCCTGCAATTTTGGTTAACAAATTCAGATTTAGATATTTTTGCACGCCCTTCAGATGCAAAATTGATGTTTTTTAGATAGAAGAACAACTTCCCATAACATTGGATGGAGCAAATTAGAAATGTGAAGAGAAATGTCGGGTAAGTATGAGAGAGTACGCAAAACCTAAGCAAGATTCAAATATCTGATCACTCCGAAAAAGTTCGTGAATGTTCTACTGACTCCCGTGTTATCAGAATCTCTTACCCAAATTGGGTAAATATTTTTAAATTCGATTTTTCCCTGATATGATTAAGAGTATGGAGTCGTATCGAGGTGAAAAGACCCCAATAGCCAGTTTCGAGCAACCTGACTCGACTTAGTCTACATTGTTTTTAAATGAGACAGATTTACACCGCTCTAACTAAGATTCAGATGCTGGGTTCCGCTTGATTTGATGTAAGACTATACTTTAGTCATATCGGGTGCAATTGCGCAATCATATCCCTGTTCATGAAAATGAATGTACCGTAGATAAGTAGCCCATCTGCGATAACTAGCAGCATCTCATTAACGTAGTAGGCCTCATCCATCATTCCCTCGTGATCTTTTAATCAATATGATGTACTGAATCAAGCAGGACATGCCCTACTAACTATTGCATGCAAACAGTTGGCTTCATTTACAAACATCCTATGATCTTATAACTTGGTGTGTATTAAAACGTTTTGATGAAACTATTAATATTAAATTAATAAATCCGTAAATGGTATCTGATATTGCACGGTAGTCCTCATGATACTGTAACAATCGTGGGCCATGTATTTGCCACACAAGTGTAGCGTAGCCTTGGCATTACACAGTCCCAGACTGTTATCATGTTCCAAAGTAGTATCACTTAAACAGTAACAATTCAATAATAAGACAATTGCATATGGGTTTATAAGTCCTTACTCAGTCTGTCATAAGTCTTATAGTCAATCAGTAATAAATGTGTTAACTGTCTGGCTACACGTTATAAATGGGACTAATGCTGTTTATATTAATAAACTGGGGGTTCTAGCCACTTCTAGCAATGGTATCCAGGGTGAATAGTGGTTCTAGCCACTTCTAGCAACGGTCACCTGGGATGTATAAGGGTTCTAGCCACTTCTAGCAGCCGTTATCCAGGATGTATAATGGTTCTAGCCACTTCTAGCAAGGGTAACCTGGGATGTATAAGGGTTCTAGCCACTTCTAGCTATGGGTACCAAGGAAGTATAAGGGTTCTAGCCACTTCTAGCTATGGGCACCAAGGATGTATAAGGGTTCTAGCCACTTCTAGCTATGGGTACCAAGGAAGTATAAGGGTTCTAGCCACTTCTAGCTATGGGTACCAAGGATGTATAAGGGTTCTAGCCACTTCTAGCTAAGGGTACCAAGGATGTATAAGGGTTCTAGCCACTTCTAGCTATGGGTACCAAGGAAGTATAAGGGTTCTAGCCACTTCTAGCTATGGGTACCAAGGAAGTATAAGGGTTCTAGCCACTTCTAGCTATGGGTACCAAGGATGTATAAGGGTTCTAGCCACTTCTAGCTACGGGTACCGAGGATGTATAAGGGTTCCAGCCACTTCTAGCTACAGGTACCAAGGATGTATAAGGGTTCCAGCCACTTCTAGCTATGGGTAACACGTGACTAGAATGGGGGGGGTGTTACAGTTGCAGTTAACATAGGGAACTGGAATTGGCTAGAAGTCACGTGTATCATGTCAAGTCAATGGAAGTCAAATGTAAGTGGGAGGGGGAATAAACATATCTTACAAAACTCCCTAAAGATAAACAGAACAACAAGTTTAAAATTATCTAATCTATTTCAAGAATTATAAAATAATCACATATAATTAGTACAAGTAAGTTTATATAAGTTACATACACAATTGAAATACACCAAGACCAATCAAACACTTAAATCACAGTAAAGTGGCTGTAAAAGGCTAGAAGGAGAGCTTAGCTAATAGGAGCTAGATGATGACTCACTCAAGCTAGAACGGGCTGTTCCCATATCCAAAACCACAGATAGCCCCTATCTTTCATTAAAAAGGTCATACTTTACATTCACTGGTAATTTCAGTATACTTCAAAAAATGAAACCTTGCTAATTACGTTGATAACATTGATAATTTGATGAGAAATCGAGACGAAATTACATGAAAATGCATGGAAATCACTTCAAAAGTTCACATCTCAATTACTGGTCAATTACTGAAACAATTCCATTCAAAGTCATAGAACAATTAAAATATATCATTATAATTACCTTGAACCACAATGCACCACGATTCACCAACGCAAACTGCTATAAATCCAAGAAAATGAGGAGAAAACACAAAATGGTCCGCCATGATTGAAATAATTCCAAAGACAAAATAGTGCATAAAATCCCTACGCCTAATCACATGACAAGATGAATCACAGTTCAAAATAAGAGAAACTAAAGTTATGTACATATATGTAAACATGCATACAATAGAATAGACATACTAAATAACATACATAAGTCAAAGTAATCACAATAAGGCAAGATGACCAATGGACCTATATCCTGTAAGCAGAATTGTATAGAGTAAACAGGCCAAACGTTGCACAAGCGTATGAGTCATGGTGACCTTTACTAAAGTAAGCAGAAATAGTACAGTAAAACTCCTTACTGGTGAACAGTGCAATTATTGGTTAATGTAGTTGAAACAATGCAAATAAGAGGATCTGTAACGGCACATCAGACCAGATATAAACCATTGGAAAGAGTAGACAAGCTGATGGGTCGTTACACTGCCCCCTTCTTTAAAATAAGTTCGTCCCGAACTTTTACACACAAGTTACAAAACAAAACAATCAATAATACACAAAAGTATTTAAATCAAAGATAATACACGATCTAAAAGTGACATGATAATACAGTAGTTTATAAGGTTATTCACTTACGACTTGCTCCACCTGAAAAACATGTCATAACAATATCCATTTGGTTCAAACATTTTTATAAATATCAAGAGTTCAGAATAGCACACGTATTTTGTAGTTATAGTCATTAAGATTGTGTTCTTCTTAGAATTCCAACAAACGTTAGTTGGTACTAGTCACATCCAGAACACTGCATAATCAAAAGTTATTATAACTGTTGACACAGTAATGTGTCTATATATCCCTGGATCATATTGCTTCTCTGTATAACAGGGAGAGTCATAAGTTCATATGTAGCACGTCAAATACAGTATGAAGATCAAATATGCTGTACAATTCTCCTATAATCCTACGTGTATGGTTGCTGAATGTTCAGGTCATTGTCTCTCTATGTTGTTGGCTAGTGGTTGACATCTCCAAACCTGGAAGAGAAACTCTACTCTCGTATCACTGCTATGCAGATATTCCAATCTACAATAGCTACAACTTACTCTCATTGTCAGCCACCTAATGAGTCTCTTCTTGTATGAGACACGCTACATAGACGTTTATATCTATAATAGCTCATAGGATCGTCAACCATGGTAACTACACACATATTCAATGTCCACCTACTTTAAGTCTGTGGGACAAGACAAAATAGGCTACAGCTGGGTGACATTGCTGGAAGTTAGGCATTTAGGGACCATTGAGGGATGGAGATAACATTTCACAGTTGGTGCACTGTTTGACTGACAGTTTTCAGCACCATCACAATTATATACACTATATACAAGGGAACTCTGCCTCGAACATTACGTTCACAATTACTCCAATTGTGTAACGGTTGAGCCTAGGTCATCTTCTAGGGCAACAAGGTAACGGTTTGGGTAGACAGTCTTTCGCATTACTTTAGTTGGTAATCAATAATGGAAAGGATGAATCAATGAGGCACAAGTGACTGTACACTTCACCATGCCATCATTGGAAGAGATGCAATCTGATGGTTCAGTTAGCAACTCTGTGGATTCATGGGACAATCTGCCCGTGTGGAGACAACAACATCACAAAAGGGGAGAACGCTAATGGAAGCTTTATTCATAATTTGTCAATATCTACCGGATATTGGCAATCGGAGACAGTAGGGACGACAAGTAGCACAGGCCACTCAAACCATCTATCATTAGGGTTCCACTCTTAAGAAACACAACAGCCCCGTGGCTTCTCAGGAAATACAAGTTGCCAAGGATACATGTACACACATAGTAAACAACATTTGCTCTCGTAGCAAATGCCATATACACATGCGGTAAATGTCAGCCACATCAGATGGTACATGGGTTGTTGAATGATTACTCTCCACATAGGGAACTTGTAACAATCAGCCCTCCTTGGAACAAAAGCTGATTGATGCCAGCAAAAGGTACGGCCGGACATGCTCACTTCCGCTGACAGTTCGCTATAAACATATTGGTAAACATCTTGGTAATATGGCTTACCAAGATAGAGGCAGTAGCTCAAATATCTATCGGACTGTACAAAT